AACACTGGTAGGAGGTAGGAGGAGGCACCAAAAACCCTTCAGAGGAGATCACGACAGACACTGTCAGTCCTCCCACGAGCCCGTGGACTGCCTTGTGGACTTCCGGTTACACTGGTCAAGCTAACTGCTGCTTGTACTATATTCCCGTATTTCTTTTCTGAAAGCATTGTACTTAACAGTGGGTTTTACAAGTTTCAAATACGTTATAAACAGTGGGATTTATAAGTTAAGAAACTGTTCTTGTTTTTATGAAGACACCCAAATGTAAATATTTGTAAAGGATTTAATTTTCTATCACATACAATTATATTTAAAAATGAAACTATTACACCACTATTTTAAATATATACTTTGGAATCAAAGTACTATGCATTTTATATTCACCATCATTTACAAAAACAGAAACAGTGTACACACTTTTTTAAAAGTTGGAAATTTTACACAGTTAATCTTTCTTCTTAAACTCTTATTTCCAATTCACTTCAAGGAACTTTATACTAATATATTTTATGCTTCAAAGCCTTTATTAGTTAGCTATCACATTCATCTAAAAATACTTGTATGTACAAAAATACATGAAATTTTTTAAAAATCCGTGACTGTAAAACTATTTAGTTAAAAATTACTTTGAAAGGTGTATCAATGCTAATAACAATTATTGGTAGTTGATAACAATTAGCTATTACGGTCTAAAACAGCCACTAATTATATTTAATAAAATAAATAGAAGAACTAGATTTTGATAATTCTAAGCATAAAAAATAAAATTTTATTAGCAAAGCATTATTAACAGGCTTTTCTCCAACATTATTTCTAGTGTGTACTGTAAAATACAAGATTTTTAGCATCCGTTCTATTCCTATATTTCATTTTTATAGATTTGAGTGCTCAGAAACCCTGGTGCACAAATTGCTAAGTGGAAAGAAAAGCTTAGTGACAACAGCCAGTCATTTAATTAGCTGAACTTCTTCAGAGTTTTGTGCCAAAAGTTACACAATGATTTCTAGATTGAGTATATTTACTAATGTGCCAAGGCTATAAGAATTGAACTACTACCCAACTTGTAAACGCTTTGTTACTCTGACATCACGTATCAACACTGAGCAACACTATTATAGTATCTGGAATGTCTGCCTCTTTGGAACCCAAGATAATTTTATACTTCATAGCAAACTATGATTAAGAAGGGGGTGTGTTTTTCTTTCTGAAGTGGGAGAAAGTTTATTGTGCAAAAAAGACTGTGCAAAACAATCAGGGCCAATGATTATTTTGGAGAAAGAAGTTGGTAGGTGGAAGCAAGGAATCTGGAAATTGACTCCTTCAAAACTACTGGTGACCACAAATCCTTGGAAACTGTTCGTATGACAAGAGGATGTGAATTCCTTGGTTTTCCTACCGTGAGACACTGACTTTTGTAAAAAACAAAGATTCCATTTCATGTACCTATCTTAGGAGTGGGCTGAAGGGAAGATGGGCAGCAGGAAGTGGGGGCCACTTCCTGCAGCCAGAGAGAAAGTGAATCATCATATACAGCATCTGAAACGTCTCCAGCTATATGGTGTACTCCAACCATACACCATCGCAGGAGAGTGTAAGAACATTTCTCCCAAGGTGTCTGTTGTAAATGAGGGAGAAAAGCTGGTCCTTGAAAGAGTGGCAGTTCAAGGTAAGACAGGGGTGCTGTGTGTGTGTGTGTGTGTGTGTGTATACGCACACGCATGTGCACGTGTCTATCTGAACAAAGTTGCTTCTGTACTTAAGATGAACTTTTCACACATGTCTTCTGGCTTCTCCTGGTTAAGAGTGGGTCCTGCAGGGTACTTCCCCTACTCACTTTACCTGGATAAGGGCCAGGCCTGAAGACAGTGATGAAAATAGATTTGTTAAAAGAGCTTATAACACACAATCTAAATGGGAGGAAAGTCTTATCATGAGAATAAGTCTGGGAAACAGGCAGTGGTATGAAAGCTGGATTTAATAAAGGACGTGAAAGATACACTGAGGGCTCTAGCCTAGACCCAAATACCCCTCTGTCGGTTTGTTGTGACCAAGAGGATGAGCCTACGGACAAACGTTTCTCAAAAAAAGATGTCTACTGAAGGGGCACAGTTTCCAGCTGCCTTGCAGCAGACCCCGGTAAACTTGGGGCTAAGGAAGGACCCAGGAAGCATACCAGGCCAGCAGCCAGGCTCCTTGGCATGGAATGGCAAAACACACACAACAAAAGCCAATTCAATTCTTAAAGAAACTCTAGCATTCAAATAAACAAACCAACAGTCTGTGACTAGTCAACTCCTAAAGCAAGCACTAACCACCAAGAAATGGACTGCTGAGATTATGTAGGGCTAGAAGGATCTGGGCTGCCGTGGCCCTGTCAGCTGTGGTCTTAAGAGGATCAAAGACAGGGAAAGTCCTTCGAGAAAGCAGAGGGGACAGCCGGTCAGACTGAGTGTGCTGTGAAATGCTGGGCAGCAAGTATTCCATTTCCTAAGTAGCAGCTTTGGTTGAAATAGTTTTCCTTCTCCCCAGTTGTATATTGTACAAGCATGCACTTTTAAATCTTTATTTTATATTTTTATTTTGAGACAGGACCTCATAAAGTTGCCCGTGGTGGCCTTCAACTCACAGTCCTCCTGCTCAGCCTCCTGAGTGGCTGGGGTTACAGCCATGCACCAAGGCGCCTGTCTACACGCACGTGTAATTTATAGGCCACTGTACTATTGGTCTCAGACTTCTAAACTCCAGAAATGTGAGAATAAATTTCTGTTGTTTAAGCCACCCAGTTTGTAGTACTCAGTCATGGCAGCTCTGGCAGACTAATATTGATGATTCAGTGGAGAAAGAGAAATAGTCTAGCCCTTGATGACATCCACAAGCTACTAAAAAAGCCCTCTTCCCAGGCTTCTTCTGGGAGGAAACAAAATAGAAAGAAACCTCTGGTTTAAGCCACTGTCAGGGATATTTAGTTAAGTGTACCTAGTAAATTCTGGTAAGTAAATGTTTTTGCAAAAAAAAAAAAGAGAGAGAGAGAAACAAATAAGATCTTGGTGGATGTGGGTAGGAGGGAATACATGAGCAAAATCCCAGCATGAGGCAAGGAGTGAAGTCCAGGTCACACGCAAGGAATGGGGTAGACCAGAAAGCCGGTTCAAAGGTTTTAGGAGAGAAGAGAATTAAGAATACGTGATCTGGAGGCAGCTGTGGAGGGTGTTTAATGATGTTCTGAAGTTCCTCCTATGACAGTAGGCAATTTTGGACCTTTTATAGAAGGGAATAAAATGACAACTCGTAGCGGGATGTGAGTAGCAGGCCTAAGTAGTGTGGACTGAAAGGAGGAAGGCCAGAGATGGAAAGATTCCTTAGGATCTTAGAGCGATATATTAGGTAACTGAGCGTTTGTTACGCCCACGAAGCAGGGAATGAAAAGGAGACACTGAAGAGGTGGACAGCAGCACCGGAAGTGGAGTGAGTAACATCACCCCAACACTTCCAACCTGAGCGTGAGGGGATGGTGATCTACAGGCCTCGGGATCCCCAGAGAGCTTAACAAGCCTGACTCACAAGTCCCACCCCTGGAAGGGCGGGATTTAATTGGTGGAAAACTCCTGGAGAGGTGGGGCAGGAGGAATAAGGAGGAAGGCCGAGGGTCACACTCGCTCTTCTAGGAGCGATGCTAGTACAGTGCAGGTTCTCAAATTTGTACTATTTTAAATTCATATTTCCAGGTCTTCGTTCATTCAACAGCCATTTCTGGTATAGCCACGCTATACCAGGCACTGCGGCAGCACTGAGACTACAAAGCCCTGAAGAGGTTTAGCATTTGTCCTCAGAGCACTTATGTTTAGCAAGCAACGTTTTTGGTTTATAAAAAGCTCTAAATCTACTTGCCTGCATTTTTGATTTTTATCAAATTAGAAAATTAAGAGGAAAATACATGAACAACGTCCAGTCCATCTTTTAAAAGATGCATTCCTTTTTTTGTTGTTGTTTGAGAGAAAAAAAGAGGAGTCTTATAGGAAAATAAAAAATCGAGAAGACAAAAAAAAAAAATGACATGTTGTCATATCAGTTCACAATAATTTCTGTTTTACATTTGTTAAGCAGTGGATTAAAAAATATAGAAACTAGTGAACTGTAATATGAATGCTTGCCAGGAAAACACATACGCAATAATTAATTTATGCCTCCCCATATTTTATGGCCTTTCTCAAGTTCAACCAATTTCACAGGAAACATAGGACATAGAAGTAAAACACGTAACATAAGGTTTTCCAATTAAGATGTACTTAGAAATAGAGTTAGTACCTAGAAATTCCACCAGTAATTTACAAGGTCAAAGCTACACCGCTTATCTTTAAAAAATTACCTAGTAGCCACTCCCTTTGGTTGCTAAAAAGAAATATATTCAGGTTCTTTCGCAGCTCATTACTAATACTACCAAGTGCAGGCAGGAGGAGAGAGGAGAGAAATTCTGCAGAAATCAGAATCTTTAGGGTACAGGTTTGGGACAGGGGTAGGGACAGGGGCACGGTAAGAGTGGGCACATAAGAGAAGCCTGGTGCTACTCAATGTTATGAAAATTTAAGTGTGTTCAGATAATACACAAAATTCAATAATGCATGAATTTCAAACTCTTATTTAAGAATCTTAGCCAGGTACAGTGGCACATAGGCCTGTAGCCCAGCTACTGGGAGGACGTGACAGAAAGATGACAAGTTTGAGGCCAACCTGGGAAACTCAGACAGATCTCATCTCAAAATCAAATCAAATCAAATCAAATCAAATGAAAACAAAACAAGGCAAAGAAAAACAACCAAAACTCAAAACCACCAAAACAAAAAAAATCTACTCACATTGCTTTCCCATGATTAACAATGGCATATGATTTACTCATAAAAGATGGGTACAAATTAATCTACCATTATTAACAAGAGCTACCAACTTCCCTAAAGAAATAAGGTGAATACCCAACGAAACTGTACAACACAGGGAGTACTCACTCATGGCGATGTGAGTCCAGGGAGAAGTGGACCACCTTCTTGCTGCTGACCGGGCCCACAGTGGGCACCTGGAGGAGATTTAAAACAGAAAACAATCACAGACTGGTTTTCAGAACCACAGTGGACAATGGGGCATCTCTATTCAAGGACATCACTCTAAAAATGAAGAAACTACATTCATTCTGAAATCCAAGAGAACATCGCACTGACCAAAAGTGTAATTTAATTCCTGGTAAGAATGATCCTTCTGGTCCGGTACAGTTACTCTGCTAGAATTTAAAGACTAATATGAAAGCATCTTTACAACAGTATAAACATCATTTTTAAGAAAGAGTCCACTGATTCTTGTTTCCAAATTCTGCACATATATCTCATTTTACATGAGTATAAGGCTCCATTTCACCAATCCTGGTTGAGCAGATGGTATTTCCATGAAACAATCAATGTATTTCAGTTAATTTCTATATAGACATAATATGTGTTACAAGGTACAGATTTCGATGCATGTAAGAACTTACGTCAAGGAGATGCTAAATAACCCTTTGTGCAGTATCCCCACAAACTCAGTATCTGTTTATGAAATCTAATGTCACCACAGAACATTTTACTCCTTCACTTCTAAATAAAATTAGAAACCTGATAAAGAATACTGCAAACAGTTTCTTGATAATACATGCCGCTCTTATTTTTAAAGAATCTGACAACATAGGAGTCTTACAGAGAGGTTCTCCAAGGGGACAAAAAACAGTACTGTGCAGCACCGAGTGCTCCAGCCCAGATGACAAAGCAAAAACCTACACAAAAGACTTTCAGTAAAACAAAACGGACTGCTGTTTAATTGTATCGGTGCTATTTCAATAGAACAGAATAACAAAAAGGCAGTAAAATGCCTCTAAGAGAAACATTTTCAAAAATGTGTTTCTTCCCGTGTTCCTGTGGGTAGCGAGGACAGCAGCCCATACTCTGGAACGCAAGAAGTGCCAAGGCTGCTGCCCACGTGCAAGATGATGACATTTATGAGCTCCCGGCCAGAGCTCCACAGGTAAACTGGGCTTCATCCAGGACCGAATCCTGCATTCATCTCGGAACACGGCTTCCATGCTATTCCAGCGGGTATCCCGGGAACACAGTAATCCATTTTCTACACCGTGGCTATGAGAAAAGCCGACTGAGTCTATGTCATGCTTTGTTAGAGGTTCATGATCACATTATCTCATGGTGGACCTGACACTTTTATTCAGTTTACAGTATGCTCTATGTACGGGCAACTTATTTCCTTTGCCGGGGCTGCTGACAACCTTTTCCACACTATATTAATCTTGTTTACTGACTTTATCTTGGTACAAATATCAGAAAACTGAACTTTTTATCTCAGAGAAAAAATAAACAATGTGTTGACAGAAGCAGAAGCTATTTTCAGGACTAAAATTGCTTGTTTACTGGAAGCTCTTACTTATGGAAAAATGTTTAAGTCTTGCTAGGGGTGAAATACATAATCTGAAATTTAATAAATGTAGAAATTTCACATACACCCATGTGATAAATTGCCTGATGAAAACAATGCAATTGAATACAATAAAACAGAATTTATAACTAATTTATACCATAATACAAATGTAAGCTTTCCATCTAGTCAGAAATAATCACACCGAGTATTTCTCAGAAATCGGACAGCTTTCTAAAAAAGCTACACACTAAATTCAATGGTGACAAATAACTTACAATAGATTTACAGTATCAAGTGTAGCTATTTAAATGGTTTTACATATTTATCCAGTAATGGCCTTTAAAAAATAGAAGGGAATATCCATTGTTCTTTCAATTTGATTTTTGTTTTACTTTTGAAGATGTACAAAAATAGGCATAGTCAGTTTAGAATATTTTAAAATAAAATAAAGCAACATCAATATCTAGACATGATGATTTTTGGAGGTCAATGTCCCTGGTCCACCTCAAGAGGAAAACATTACTTCAGTGGGAACCCACCTTACCTAAAACCTGATAATATCTTTAATAGAGAATTCAGCTTGTGAAAAATAGTGTTTGCTGAAGTTTGAGCATATTTTAAACTTTGAAATAAGTGCTCAATGTGATTATTCGTAGAAATCTCCAAGGTTATTATTGAACTCCAAGAAAAACATGTCAACAGTCACTATAAAAATGTATAACTGTTTCGTCATTAATTTTGGGTCGATAACAATATTTATATAAATAACAAGCCGTTTTCAACATTACATGAAAGTGATCCTATCTCTGCTTCCTTCTTTCTCCCTCTCCCTCTCCCCCTCCTCCTTTTTTGTTTTGATTTTTTCAGCATGGGGGGCTGGGCAAGTGTTCTGCTACTGAGGTACATCCCTTAGCCCTTTTAAGTTTTATTTTGAGACTGAGTCCAGCTATATTTATTTCCCAGGCTGGCCTCAATTTCATGATCCTCCTGCCACAACCTCCCTAGTATCTGGGCTTACAGGCCTGTGCCACTGTAAGCAGCTTGAAGTAGTGATTTGTAGTAAGCAATTATGCATGCTTGTATTAGTCTTCAAAATAGGGACCACTTGTAATTCCAGAAATGTTTAAGAAAACACAAATTTTAAAAAGTCATATCATTTTAAATTTCCCATTCACATGGTCAAGTTTATTATTGTGAAAGAGAATTTTTTTCCATAAGATTGAATGAGGAAGAGCTATTCTGTTCTTCATGAGAAACAGTATCTCTATAATCCAATTCTTGTTATTGTTAAAATCCTGGAGAAAATCATTTATGTAATTAACTAATATTCAGTAATAATGACCTTAGACTTACATTATATATCCTGAATTTTTATGATTCATTTGCTAAATACTATGACATCAATAATGACTATACACCTAAATACAGAAGATATATTTCTTTTTATTACCTATGGTTATTTCACTCTGAACTCAAAGCCAGAAAGAAATAGATGGTTTTAAGATAACATAATTTTTATGTCATAAGGGTAAAAGATTACATTGGTTTGTTTTCCTGACTGTTTAGAGTCAAGTTACAGAAATGCGTTAGTCAGAGGTGAAAATTTAACAATGGTTACATAAATTCCACTATTAATTTATAAGGTCAACATGCCAATATATTGGAAATTCAGCCAAATAAAATCAATGGCAAACTATTATCTCAACCTGCAGACACATTAAAAACAATTTCTTACGCATTTGAACATTGGTAAAATATCATTTTCACGCTGTCCCGAAGATAAACAGAACAGCTGGTTGTGTACATTACTTCCATTTTGCCATCACCAAACCCACTGCAACTCGCACAGCTACATAGCCCAACAATCACTTCTGCCACCAGGTAAACTCAGCCAAACAGCCCGACCCGCTCCTGTTCTCAAGGGTAAGGCTCTGGCAAACTGGTGATGTTTGACGTCTTTGCCAAAGTACAGGCACAGCCACGGTTTCTTCCTCCCCTCCGGCACAGCCATCCCTCCGACTCTGCTTTGATTTGCCACTACGATTTATCTGCCTTCCAAATGCGCTTCCGCTACAGTGCCCACACTGACAGACACGCAGCATGGCAGGCTGGCGTTCAGGGCCAGGCTGCTCCGTCTTGCGGGGATGGGGCCGTCAAGTAAGTCAGCCAGGCCTCGGGGCGCCGGTGGCACAGCCTCGGCCTTCTCCCCATTTGTGAGGGCTGGAACATCCCTGCTTTCTCTCAGGGCGAGTATTCACCTGGCTCCTCTGAAGGGAAACACCACCCTTTAAAGCTGAGGGCTTGCATGCTGGCCTCTTATGCCTAGGTCCAACGAATCTGTCAGGGGGATATGTGTGACAGATATTAAGGAAAACAGCTCAACAAAAGCCAGTTTGAAAAATATGAATTTAAGCCCTGGGGGTAAGGAGAAAGGACAGGAGGCCAAAGTAGTTGATTTTAGATGCTAGTCTTAAAATCTGTCTTCAGTTAAAAAAAAAAAAAAAAAA